CCCCAACCAAAAAAAAAAAAAAAAAAAAGAATGTCAGGAGAGCATCTTTCACCTGTGTTGATGTCGGGAAGGAAAGTTGTCTTCACTAAACTGCCAGGTAATTGGTATTAATGCCAGAAACAGAGAGCCAGACTGAACGAGCCTGGTATGGCCTATGTGCAAACTCATGGAACTTCCTATTTTGGGGTTTTTTGACTGGCACATTTTTCTTGTTTGTTTTCTATAACTAAATGGGACACCAGAAAGGAAGTATATCTAAATCAGCTGTTTCCTTATTCCTGTGACTGTGAAATAGAGCCCAAATTTCCTCATCCAAGGTTTGTGGTGTTTGTTTATAATCCCTAATCCAAACTTTTGCCAGCTAAAGCTAGCAATTCTTTGTAGACATTATGAGTGAATTATTTTTATGACAGAGACTAGGTTTTACTATTTAAACTGGTTTCCCTCCCCCCCATTTATTTCAAAATAATAATCTTTGAAATGGCTGTACAGATAAAGGTCACAAAAAGATGATGCTCTGATCTAATATTTCCATTTTCTCATACGATGCTAATTTTTCTTTCAAACTTTGTTGCCATTTCTGTTTCTTTAAAGGCTGAAAAGAAGGGAGCCAGCAATACTACCATTGGGATGATCTTTGGATGTTATGCTTTGTTTCACTTGCTGACATCGTTGGTATTTGGAAATTATGTAAGTATTAAAGTTTAGATGAACATTTTGATTTTAAAAAATTATCCATAGAGGGTTATTCTAATGTACTAGTTCAGAATTTGCATTGCTACAGAAATAACCACTGTTAAAGTCTTATAAATTGTGCAACTGTTCACAGTTCCCTCCTTAGGGTTGATTGATTTTTAACGCCTTCCATGTTTCTGCCCAACGTGTTTGGGCACTTCATTAAAGATGCATTGGCACTCCGTTAATGAATTATATTAACTGTATGTGTCTTCTCCCAATCCTATATTTTCTAATACAGAAGATTTGTTTGTGTCAATATAGACTTGTAGAAGTCATCAATTTACTCCTCTTCTTTGACATTTTTTATAGCTTGTACATATTGGAGCAAAATTTATGTTTGTAGCAGGAATGTTTGTCTCAGGAGGAGTTACAATTCTCTTTGGGTAAGTCATTTTCTGAAATGCTTGGGAGCTTGAAATGATGTCATAATCTATCTTCAGTTTAAAATGTTAATAGCTCTTCAAATCAATGGTTCCATTACTGTCTTTTGAGTGCCTGCCTATCATGTGACTGTTGATCGAAGGAGTTGCGAGTTGCATGAGTAGCTAACAGGGAGGAGGGGCGTTGATCTTAAGGAAAATAGTCCTCTAGGGGGTCACGCTGACTACTGGATGTGTTTGTTAGGACTCCTGTGACTGTGAGTGACAGTGACTGAACTCACTTTTCTAAGAGTCTTAGAAACTTTTTGGTTTGAGCCAAAAAGTTAATTTCTTTCCTAAAGAATTATCTCAAAAACATCAGGATACGGATGTTGAAACAATGTTGTCAGACATTCTTCCTCACCTTCCTGGCTTTGCTGTGCCCTGTCCTTCCTTCCCTTTTTTGAGTTGAGGTCTCACTCTGTAGCTCAGGCTGGAAGGCTGGAGTGCAGTGGCTTGTTTACGGCTATCACAGCCTCTACCTGCTGGGCTCAGGTGATCCTTCTGCCTCAGCCTTCCAAGTAGCTGGAATACAGGCATGTGCCACCATGCCCGGCTAATTTTTTTATTTATTGTAGAGATGAGATCTTGCCAAGTTGCTCAGGCTTGAATCCCTGGGCTCGGGCAATCCTCTTGCTTCCACTTTCCAAAGTGCTGGGATGACAGGTGTGAGCCACTGCGCCCAGCCTGCTTTTTTCTTCTTGTGATTTGTCATCTTGTGATTTGTTCTGAGCCTCCCCTTTTGGTGGCAGAGTGGCCCTGGCAGCTCTATAGCGAGTGCCACTTTCCTTATAGCTACTGGCAGAGTTGCAGTACCAGCCATTCCAGCCTGGGCTTTGTTGATGACCCATCCCTGCACCACGGCCACTATAGCCAGAGGAAAGAAGGTTCTGACTGGCCAGGGTCCTGTGCTCACTTCAGAGCATGGAACAGAATGGTTTCGCCCATTGCTATTTCCAGAAAAAGGGGAAATGAGTGCCAGGGGCAGAACAGCTATGAAAATTCTTAAGCTCAGAATCCTCAAGCCAGCAGCATAATAGCAAATAACATGGCCGGGCTTATGTAAGTACTTGGGGAACACAAAAGAAAGACAACAGTACGGTAAGTTTATGATGAAATAAACTCAGGAAAGCCATTACATTAAATGAAGTGAGTGTGTTTTTAAACAATTTGGAGGGATAGAAGAATCTTCTATTTTGTTTTGAGTTTTTTCGAGTCGGAGTCTCACTCTGTCGCCCAGGCTAGAGTGCAGTGGCATGCTCACAGCCACCACAGCCCCGACCTGCTGGGCTCAGGCGATCCTTCGCCTCAGCCTTCCAAGTAGCTGGAACAACAGGCGCGCACTACCATGCCCAGCTTATTTTTTGATTTATTGTAGAGACAAGGTCTCAGCAAGTTGCACAGGCTGGTCTCGAACCTCTGAGCTCAGCCAGTTCCCTCACCTTGGCCTCCCATAGTGCTGGGATCACAGGCTTGAGCCACTGTGCCCAACCTTCTAGAACTCTTCTATTTTCTGCATTTATTCTGTTTTTTTTTGTTGAAAGTTTGAGCCCTACCATGGGAGAGACTTAAAATTAAGAAGTCGTTTCTTCTTCTTTTTTTTTTTCTTTGAGTTAGAGTCTCACTCTGTCGCCCAGACTGGAGTGCAGTGGCCACTCCTGGTCACCACAGCCTCAACCTGCTGGGCTCCGGCGACCCTTCCACTCAGCCTTCCAAGTAGTTGGAACTACAGGTGTGCGCTACCATGCCCGGCTAGTTTTTTTTTTTAATTTATTGTAGAGACAAGGTCTTGCCAAGTTGCCCAGGTATGTCTCCAACCCACGGGCTCAGGCAATCCACTCACCTCGGCCTCCCAAAGTGCTGGGGTTTTTTTTTTTTTTGAGTTGG